GGGGGGTGGCCAGTCCCTCTTGGGGGGCTCGCAAGCGGAGCCGGCCCACCCAAAGCACGGCCGCCTCCCAAGAGGACTCCCGCGGCTTCTCCCCGCCGTTCCCGGCAAGTTCCCAAACGCGGCTGCAGCCCCCGTGGCGCACTCACCTGCATGGCTGCTCCCCGCCTCCGCGCGCCTGGGACCGGGACCGGGACCGGGTCCGCCCCTCCCGCGCTTGGCCTGCTGGGGACTGGGGCGGGCAAGCCGGGGCACCCGGAGCCCTCTGCAGGCGGCTCTCGGGACGACCGGGGACGGCTCTGGAGGCGGCGGGAGGGGAACGGACCGCGGAGGGGGAAGAGGGACCTCCGTCTCGGCGTGCGCCCTCTCGAGGCTGCGGCCGCGCGCGCCGGAGAACCCGCTTTCAGCCCACTCGCCCTGCTGCCCTTCTCACCCGGGTTGTTTTACTGGTGCATTATAAGAACATAAGAGAAGCCCATGTTGGATCAGGCCAGTGGCCCATCCAGCCCGACACTCCTGTGTCACACAGTGGCCAGAAATACCAGGTGCCATCAGGAGGCCCAGCAGTGGGGCCAGGAGGACACTAGAAGCCCTCCCACTGTGGCCCTCCCACTGTGGCCCCCCCAAGCTTGTCGTCTAGGAAGCCCTGGGGGTTACCCAAGGCTTGCCTCTAACACCCCTGCTCTCCTCCCTCCCCAGGCCCACCTTCCGGTACTTCACCTGGCACACCGCCATCAGGAGGTCCACCAGTGGGGCCAGGAGGACACTAGAAGCCCTCCCACTGTGGCCCCCCCAAGCACCAAGAAGACAGAGCATCACTTGCCCCAGACCGAGAGTTCCTATCTATACCTTGTGGCTAACAGCCACTGATGGACCTCTGCTCTTAACATAAGAACATAAGAGACGTCAATGTTGGATCAGGCCAGTGGCCCATCCAGTCCAACACTCTGTGTCACACAGTGGCCAGAAATACCAGGTGCCATCAGGAGGTCCACCAGTGGGGCCAGGACACTAGAAGCCCCTCCCTCTGTTGCCCCCCCCCCAAGCACCAAGAAGACAGAGCATCCCTTGCCCCAGACCGAGTGTTCCTATCTACACCTTGTGGCTCATAGCCACTGATGGACCTCTGCTCCATATAAGAACATAAGAGAAGCCAATGTTGGATCAGGCCAAAGGCCCATCCAGTCCAACGCTCTGTGTCACACAGTGGCCAGAAATACCAGGGGCCATCAGGAGGCCCACCAGTGGGGCCAGGACACTAGAAGCCCTCCCACTGTTGACCACCACCACCACCTGCACCAAGAAGACAGAGCATCCCTTGCCCCAGAGCCCCTTTCTATTGTTGTTGTTCAGTCGCACAGTCGAGTCGGACTCTTCGCGACCCCATGGACCAGCTCCCGCCAGGCCCTCCTTTCGTCCTCTGAAGTTGGCTCAATTTCATGTATTATTTGAACTTTTATGCCAATAAAGGTATTTGTTTGTTTGTTTGTTGTTTGTATTATTTGAACTAACACTTTTTTCAATATCTTGTAGTCTGTATTCAATAAGGAAATCAGTCTATAATTTTTAATCTCTGCTTCTTTGGAATTCGGTTTATGTATCAACGTTATACCCTGTTTCCCCGAAAATAAGACCTACCCAAAAAATAAGCCCTAGCAGGATTTCTATGCATTTGTGGTATAAGCCCTAGTGTGTCTTCTTGAGAAAAAATAAATATAAGACAATGTCTTATTTTCGGGAAACACGGTAGTTGCTTCGTTCCAGGAGGTGGGTATCTTACCTGATCTTGGTATGTTTTGTAACATAGCTTTAAACGGTTCTACTATTTGGTCATCGAATGCGTGATAGAATTCTATAGGTATACCATCTGGCCCTGGTGTTTTCCTTTCCCCCCCATTCTTTATTGCTTCTATAATTTCACATGTAGTTATAGGATCTTTTAATAAAGTTATTTGTTGTTTATTACATTTTTTCTTTTCCCATTTTTTTGGGTACTCTTGTACTTCCTTTTCTAGTGATTCTGGATTATGATAAAGATTTTTATAGAATTTTCCCACTATTTCTTTTATTTCTTGTTGTTTACTTTTTTCCTTTCATAAGAACATAAGAACATAAGAGATGCCAATGTTGGATCAGGCCAAAGGCCCATCCAGTCCAACACTCTGTATCACACAGTGGCCAGAAATACCAGTGCCATCAGGAGGTCCAGCAGTGGGGCCAGGACACTAGAAGCCCTCCCACTGTTGACCCCCCCAAGCACCAAGATGACAGAGCATCACTTGCCCCAGAGTCCCTATCTATACCTTGTGGCTAATAGCCACTG